CCAGACATGAACCCAGTTGGGGCTGAAATGGAATACTCACCTGCAAGGGTCCAAACTTGGTGTGCCTGTGGGATGGGTGCAAGGGGCACGAGGAATGAGGTCCTGAAAGTGCCAGATTTTTCTGTGATGCTAATATAGCGCACACTTGAGGATGCTCGCCTCACAAGCTCCTTCTGAGGCTCTGGGAGGGTCCCTCACTAGGTGTTCACAGGGTCAGATTCAATATGCACAAGTGACATGTTTTTGTCTCACTTGTTGTATTTTTTTTAATTCATTATTATTTTTTTACTGGTTTTTTTTTTTTTTTTTTTTTTTTTTTTTTTTTTTTTTTTTTTTTTATTGAGAGAGAGAGAGAGAGAGCGAGCGAGCAAGCAGGGGAGGGGCAGAGAGAGAGGGAGACACAGAATCCAAAGCAGGCTCCAAGCTGTCAGCACAGAGCTTGATGCAGGGCTCGAACCCATGAATCATGAGATCATGACCTGAGTCGACATCGGATGCTCAACTGACTGAGCCACCCCGGTGTCCCAATTGTCTCGCTTATTTTGAAAAGCTCCCTCACCCACCCACCCATCAGATTCTAGAAGCTTCAGTCTTGACAACCCTTTGGAAGTGACTGTGTCATTGTTGAGAAATGGGGCTAGACTGTCTCCCTGTTCTAGCACGGCGCGAAGAAAGCAGCCAAGACTTTGGCAATTCTCAGGCTGGGCACGAAAGAGCTGAGGGGCACTCTGGCAACACCAGAGGGGCTGGGGTCCTCATGAGACTTCAGAGTGCAGGAGCTGGGAATGGAGTCAGGACCCCAGACTTCAAGAGCACAGATCATGGCAATCTCCCAGAGGATGAGATGGGAACCAAGGGCACGTCAGGGCGTCGAGGGATGGGGCGGCCCGGCAGCCCGGCCCTGACCCCGGCAGACAGAACCGGGGCACCGGCCCCCAAGGCCATGATGAAACACCCACTTCCGCCTTTTTCCACATGCCACTTGAGAAGGTACGTGGGACAGCAGCTCCCAGGAAGAGGAGAGAAACAGCCCATGGGGTGCATGCCTGTTGACCTGACTACCCCAAAAAGATGAGTTAACTCGAGATTGGCTAAACCCCCAAGGAAATCGAAGTCTCCCTCAATGGAAATAGGGATTTCAGAACAACTTTACAAAAACGTTTGTTTCTTTTTTTAATTGAGCTGTGTTTGAAATTGTGAACCTTCTCATTTAAAACAACATTATGGATACAGAAAAATTTTAAAGCCTTCCAACTAAACAGATTGTCTAAAGGTCACTGTGGGAATTTTTAGCATAATATGATTATAAAATAAAACCTGTTTGTGATAAAACCGTAATAAAATTTTCAAAGAAAGTGGCCATATCACTTAAATTTAACCTAAGTGTTCTGAGGCAGAGACTGCTAGCTAGTCACCAAAATCTTATTTTCCTGGGCTGGCGGCCAGGCCACATTTCCCAGTCTCGCTCAGAGCTGGTGCGGCCACACCACCGACCTCCCGCCGACAGAATCCGACCAGAAATGGATTCAGGACTGGCCCGACTGAACCCCACACCCACCACTCTGTGCTGTCTCCCCCACTTCCAGCTCACTGGGGTGCAGATTAACAAGCTGCCAGAACGCTCCGTCAGCCTAGATCCTTGAACAACCCCGGGCTCACCTCGGGCTTTTATGTGAGGGATAACATCCTACTTAGTTTTCTGGATAGGCCCATGAATGCGGGGTGGTGAGTGAGCATGACCTTAGGCTCTATTCTTGCACATCAATCTGGTGCTGATTCAAGGTGGCACTCCATGGGCGCTTACTATTTGCACGTGGAGCTCCTACGTTGTAGCAAGATCCACCTTACCCACTAGGAGCCGAGCAGGCACGTCGGCAGCTAGCAAGAACGCGAGGAAACTGGACTGCAACTGTGACGAAAGAACAGGCAAAGGCATGCGACAGCACAGGGGAAAGTTCATTTGCGAAGGCACCACAGATACGGTGGCCAGGGGAGCTGGGCCCTGAAGGATGAGAAAGCTTCCGAAGAAAGGACAGGGGCGGAGGTGGGAGAGTTCACTCCAGACTGAGGAGATAGAATCAAAGCCGGTGAGAAGCAGCTACAAGGAAAGAGGCTTCTGTTCAAAGAGAGGGGAAGAGCTAACAATCGGGGTTGACCACGAATTGGAGGCACTACGCAGACAAAAAGGCAGAGCGATTCCTTGAGGGGTGGCCAGCCTCCTGGCACAGGGACGGCGGAGAATGCGGTTCCAGCACGGGATGGGTAGCTGCTCCATTCAGCGGCCTTCCAGCTCCGGGATCTACGTATCTCCGGTGCCTCTGCCAAGCAGGCTTTGTACAACATTGCCGGAAGAAAGGAGAATTATTTTAGCCCTGTTTCAGCGTTGCTTACACGACGGTCTTTGCCACATTCCCTTTCAAGGCTGTGTTGGCTGGGATGGGACCATTCAGTGCGTTCGATCCTAAGCCAGTAGAGAACATCCCTTCACGACGAGGCTCGGGAAAACCCCTTGAATATGATGTTATTATCGGAAGAACTTAGTAGGCTGATATTAACCAGGATTGCTGCTGGGGACCAAGAAAACAGAGAACAGGAAGTATCTGTTTCGAACGCGGAGGCCGTGGGACAACGCTGCGTGAATTGCGTGTGCTGGCTGACAGCAAGTTACTAGCTCCTACCACCAATTATGGACATAGGACTTTCAGAAGAATGGTTCACACAAAGACATATTACAACACAGCTGTGCGGAGAGCACTTTTGTCTTTCCTGGGTGACTTTTCATCTCGCAAGACACCTCGGCCTGAGCATTATAAACGTGAATTTCACGGTGTAGTTTTGAAAAGCAAACTAGTTTTCCACTTTTAGATGTCTATGTTATAGGTCAAAGAAAGTCTACCGGAGCACTAGAAAGAGAAATACTATTCTAACATCACAGTAAATGAGTCAATTTCCACTTTCTGCATACAGAGTTATAATTTCATTTCACAACCCTTTCTGAGTTTCCACTATGCGCTCGGCACTGTGTTATTCATTAGTGATATAAACGGAATGAAAAAGAAAAAATGGGGTCTTCTAAACTTGAAAACTTCCTAAGATCCACAATGTTATCTTTTTGTAAGAGCATTTCCAAATGATTATTTTATTTATTTATTTATTTATTTATTTATTTATTTGAGAGAGAGAGAGAGAGAGAGAGAGAGAGAGAGAGAGAATATCTTAAGCAGGTTCCATACTCAGCATGGAGCTGGCAACGGGGTTCATTCTCACGACACTGGGATCATGACCTGAGCCAAAATCAAGAGTAGGACACTCAACAGACGGAACCACCCATGTGCCCCCGGCCAATGATTATTTTAAAAAATGGTAAGTTCGGCTACATTCTTGCCCCAATAAACAAGGTTATTTTGCTTGTCACATCTCGAGATTCTACATATAAAGAATGACTTTCAGTGTTGGCCTGGGCTGTTATCTCATCTCCTGTAACAGGACTCCAGATACTTAATTTAGTGCTTAAATAAAAGGGAAAGGGAAGAGAATTTTCCTGAGCTCAGAAATGATTGTTAAACACACACAGAACTCTTCACATTATAGAATGGATCTTAATTAAACAGCTCCCGCCTCACAACAGCGAAACAAAAGAAACCCATAAAGCCATGTTCCGGGGCCACTGGAATGTTCGGATATGACAGTAAAACAGCCACACAGGAAGTTACATTTCATACGCCATCATTCAACCATAAATATGAGCAGTGCCTTCTTAGTCTCTTTCTTTTTCAGTCCTTTCAAAATTCAGGTCACGTCTCTCTCATCGTACAGCATCCTGAGTAAATCACATCTCAAGTGGTGACAAGACCTGTCTGCCTTTGATATCCAATCTCAAAATACTTCCCAATCGCCTTTCTACCCACCTACCTTACTTATGTCCTGGGTCCTAAAAGCCATGTTTTACAAAGCTTGGGAACTGCATTCCCTTTCGATAAAATGAACAACTCACAACAACAGCTTCTATTTTGTTTGGTTTTCGCCCAACTGTGCTGACTCTTTCCAGCCCACATTTACTGGTCCTGCCTGGAACGTGGATCCCAGTTTGTTGTCAAGGCAGGTACTGAGTCTGCTCCCTGTGACAGAAAGCAGGGCTAAACCTTCAAATGGAAGATTCCCACCGGCCTTGGCATTCGCACCATGTCATTCCTAGGTGCACTGTGGTATTTCTCTGCTCCCCAGGCAACATTCTGAGATTTCCTTCCCTAGCCAAAATGAGAAATCAACATTTTCCAAAGTGGGGCGGGGAGAGCCCCAAACGACAGAATAACACTTCCAAACATCAGTGACCCTGAGTCTGTGTTTGCGACGGGACAGAGATCAGATTAGCCGAAACTGAGCACGTCAATGCTTCAGCACTCACAGATTCTTATTTCTGGCCAGCTGTGTGATCCTGTATAGTCACTGAACCTCTCTGGGCCACAACCACTTTGTCTATAAAACCAAGAGAATACCAAGAGACCTTCCAGCTCTAAGTTCTTTGGGCCACAACAACTGCTTTGTAAAACCAAGAGACTCCAAAGACACCTCCCAGCTCGCATTTCTTTGGGTCTGGGAAATTAACAACGCGGTTAGAAAATGCCACTGTCTCTGGACTGACTCTGCAGACCTTGGAAAAGTAAAACTCGGATTAAAGACCATGAAATTGAGGGGGAACAATTAAAAGATCTCTAAGGCCCCTTTCCACATTTTGACTCTAACTCCGAGAGTGAGGCTTGGCCGGGCAATTGGCCATAAAACATTAGCGGGTCTCATTGCTTCCAATGGCCAATTCGGCTCTAGCGAAACATTCTTCATCGTGTTTCCAGGCACTGCCTTGAAATGTAAAGCGTCCAAGGCAACGGCAGAACGACTTGCCCTATGCTCTGCTTTCACTGGCAACTCGCCCCTGGGTCCCCGATTTCTCAAGCCAACGAGAGCATCCACCTGGCAAGAACAGGTAAGAAAGCCACACCTACCCTCAGCCACTGCTTCTCCGTGAGGGCGTCGCTGTAGTCCACGTCCCGGCGCTGGCGAGAACCCCTACCAAATATTTTCTCCTCCTCTTCCTCACATGTGAGCCGTTCAACTTCAGCATCATCCTTAATAATCCAGGAGGGCAGCTCATCTTCCTCCATCAAGCGGGGCTTACGCTTTGGGTTCCTGGCATCTTCCCTCCGTCGGTCCATGTCCATGCGCTGCAGGTAGTAAACAGAAGTGTCACCAATGGGAAAGGGGGACTCTGTCCAGTACCGATGTCACAGCACACAGAACTTTCACGAGGGGCACCTGCGTGGCTCAGTCGGATAAACGTCCGACTCTGGCTCAGGTCATGATCTCACAGTTCACGAGTTCGAGCCCCGTGTTGGGCTCTGTGCTGACAGCTCGGAGCCCGGAGCCTGCTTCGGATTCTGTGTCTCCTCTCTCCACCCCTTCCTCACTTATGCTCTGTGTGTGTCTCTCTCTCTCATTCTCAAAATAAATTAAATAACACTAAAAAAAAACAAAACAAAAACAAAAACAACTTTCACGAGTCTCCTCCTATGGCTTCAGGGCCCCTTTCTGCTTTTCCCATAGAGTCTCTCTATCCTGGCTTACTTGTTCCGGTTCCTTCCTCACACACACTGTCCCACCAGAGATTCTGCAAGGTGAAATCTCCTTCCTCCCTCCGTACCCCATCTTTGAAATTCATGCATGTAAAATATGCTCTTTACAAATTCCTTTACTTCACCTGGGTGTGTGCAAAAGCTACCCCTTAAAACAGTGAGAAAATTCCAATTGGGGGTATATTTAAAAAATATGAGCCCCAGAAATACAATTTGCTGCTGCCCTCGCATGAAAGTACTCTCTGAGCATATACAAGAGAAGCTTCATTAAGAAAACTTCCTTTGACTCAGTAGCGCTCATGCTTTTAATTAAACAGAGAAAAAAAAAAGTCAGCGACCCAAGTTTTGCGGCAGACTGGCTCACCCTTGGACTCGGACATGTGGGCACATAAATGGCTTGATTAGTCATTCGGCCATGAATGTATTGGATTTTCGGCACACCACGGGTTCCGTGAGAGGAATGTCCTTCAACGCTTTAGCTTTTAAAAAGTTTAGCTCTTATGAAAATATTACAACGCCAGAGAAAAACCTCAGATGTAATGTCACCTCAACGGATCAAGTTTTAAGTAAAGTATCTCCCTTTCATATATTTTCATAGCCTTTGAATGCCTACTTCTCCACCTCTTGCTTTCTTTTTTAAAAACCCAGTGCACCTGGGTAAATTAAGTACTACATGCTGGGCTTTAACCTATAACTAAACAATCTGAGAGCTAAAAGAAAAAAAAAAGTAAATAAGACCTACACGGAATTGCTGCTTATGTTATACACACACACACACACACACACACACACACACACACACACATATGTATGTATGTATATGTATGTATATACGTATATATATATACGTATGTATGTGTGTGTGTGTCTGTGTGTATGTATATGGGTAGCTAGATGTACTATTTCTACAATCAAATAGACCATTAACTATTCAATGATTTACCTTTCCCCCTTCTTCCTTCAGTTCTACCGTCCTGAAACAGGAATTCAACATAACTTTTTCTTAACAACTGAAACTGGTAACAAAATAGAAATGAAATTTCTATTCAAATCCAAACTTGACCTCTAGAATCGACACAAAAATTAAAGTTCAAAGTCCCTTCACCTACGCTTAAACATTTTTGGAAATTATTATATTCCCAGGGTTGGGGCAGGCTTGCGGCACGGGGGAGCCCCATTGGTAGATAAATGTGGCCGTCCTGTTCTGTCATGTGCTATAGTTAGCTGGAGAGGCTGTCCTTAATCCTGACTCCGAATGTTCTGGTATCAGAAATGGGACCCACCAAACTTGCCTTGTTAGAACACAGAATGCCTTGCTAATAATACAGTCTACAGAGGGGCTTCTCAAAGGGACCTCCTAGTAACAGTACTTTAGAATGCTAATGGAAAAAAAAAATTTTTTTTTGGTGAATGCATTCCACTGTGATGACAAAATACTGCCACATCCACTTCTGATTACATCACCACCATCACTTTTATACCGATATACCTATATATGACTTATCCCATGCATTTGTCCACAAGTGGGAAAATAAATCTTTTCTGACATAAACATTTTAAAAATCGATATTAAAAAAAGTAAAGTGATAGAAAATCTGATATAAAAACTAAATTGCATTTGTTTTTTATTTTTCGTTTATGAAGGGGTGATGCACTTTTTAAAAAAAAGTTTATTTATTTACTTATTTTGAGAAAGGGAGTACATGTGAGCCAGGTAGGGGCAGAGAGAGAGGAGAGAGAGAATCCCAAGCAGGCTCTGCACCATCAGCACAGAGCCTGTCGTGGGGCTTGAACTCACAAACCATGAGATCATGACTGGAGCTGAAATCGAGAGTCAGATGCTTAACCAATTGAGCCACCCAGGTGCCCCGGGTTGATGCACTTTTTAATAAGCTTAAAGTTCTGATGCTTGCCATCTCTTCCCAAAGATTTCTACTTGCAGAAGACACGTACAAAGATGTGAAGTTGATATTCAAGCGTGTCTAATTTACTATTTAGGTACTACATGAATGTATTTGTTTTACGATACATTCATGATAATAAAAGTTGTGCTAACAACTACAATGATTTTTAAAAAGCACTTCTTAAAGCTTCATGTCTGTATGCCGTTGAAATATTTCACATTTGTATCTTGATGTGGCAAAGGTCTTTTTAGGTAAAATTCATTGTTAATCAGTGTGAAGGATCACTGTTTCTGAAGTTCTGTTTTTAGGAGAAAACAAGAAAAATATTTAAAAGAAAGGTTTCATTTTAAAGAGACTAGCTTATCTGCTTAATGTGCGTTATTTAACCACAGTGTCCGTGATAAATAAAATGATAACCTTATATTAATTTTTACATAGAGAACCAGCTTTTCAAATAATAAGGGATAAAAAGGTTAAATATTTGAAATCCAAATCTAGCTTGCATTCCATTCTTGTGTCTCACTGAACTTTTTCATCAGGAGTAGCTGGCAGGGAATCAAATGTGATTTCCTGCCCCCTGGTGGAGGTGCTAATGCATACAGAATGGGACAAAGGCAGCCTGCTGCTTGGATTTAAAAAAAAAACAAAAAACAAAAAAAAAACCAAACCAAACCAAAACTTTGTATCATCTAAAAATGAGAAGGCAACCATTAACAAGCAGAACATTCCCCAAATCAAAATGCCTACAAAACAGTGTTCCCTAGCCAGCCAGCTTCATTTGTTCTAAGCCTCCTCTTTGCATGATACAATATTCCCAAATTAAAAGAAAGCTGGGCCTTGGCCAGACATTTCTTTTTTTTTTTTTTTTTTTTCCCCTGAAGCTTTCAATTTTTACAAATATCCAGCCCAAAAGTCAGAAAAGAGATGTACTCTTTTCCCCTCACTTCGGGGCTGCTGATGCAAAAATCTCCATCTCTGGGCCTAATCTAATTTGTATAATGACAGGCAGCTTATCCTTTCCCGGGCCTCAAGAGTATCTGCGGCTGTAGCACTGCTGAATTATTGCCAATCAGGAAGCAGCCAGGGAAGCTGAGGGCCTCTGGCCCCCGTGATCCCCAGTAATCTACATTTTAATAAGTTCGTCAAGGAGAGAAAAGATGTCTGTTTCCTATGTGTACCTCTAATGTCCCCAAGGAGAGCACCAGTCTATAAGGGTGACCAACAGTCGGGGCTCAGAAATTTAGGTCTGAGGAACACCCTGCATTGGCCATGCTATCACATGACTGTGTTGCATCATTTCTAGCCAAAAATGCCTTTCCTAAGGAGGGTGGTTCACTTAGGAACGGGGTGGGGCGGGCAAAGTGCTCATCCCAGGTTAGGAGCTATTCCCACAGCTCCCTAAAACTTCCCTGAGGAAGAATTAAATGTCTTTTATCTCGAACCTTTATGTGTGGACACAACCGTTGTTCCCTAGTCAAAAATTGCAAAAAATAACGTAAGCCTCCACGCAGCTGGAGCTCTCTTCTCAGACTGTCTGGGCTAAAAAGACAGAGGATGCAAATCCTGTGGGTCACATCTGGCCCAGAGTCCTGTTTCATTTGGCCTGCAGTAGGAGATCATAATAAAAACAAAACTGAATTTAGCTGCAAACATTTTGAAATCCAGAGATTGCCCATGAAAAAAACCTAGATTTCCAGCTTCTCTTGGAAATTTGGAATTCCTGGATACCTGGGGTCTTGCGGCTCTGTCCCCCTTAGACAAAGCAGCTCTGGTTTACCACCACCACCCACCCACCCCCATCCACTTGTTTCACTCCTGCAAAATGCCTGACACCTTGAGGACATTCAAACTGGGGGCCTTGGACTTGGGGGCCGTGCAGCATGACCGCATCACAGTTCACATTTCCTTACTCATTCCGCCATCAGACTAAATGTCCGAAAGATCGGAAAGATTGATGGTACTGGAAGGAGCCTTGCAACTTCACAGGTCCTGATCCACACTGACATCTTCACGGGGCTTAAAATGTTGCAAACGCTGCCATTCGTTCACTCAAGATTTGCTAAGCAAGTACTATGTGCCAGAAACCGTTCTGACCATTGGGCCGCAGAGTAGATGAAAGAGGTCCAGCGCATGCCTGAAGAATGCAGCAAAACAGCACTTCTGAGGGCCTCCTTCACGACCGGAGGGGCTTGCTTCCGCACGTACTGACCCTGGGGCGGGCCACACACGTAAATCAAGTGCAGATTTCAGCAAAATCGCACGTGACTATGTAGTACGGAACGTCAAGGTTGAAACCATGGCTGTTAATTCCTTAAATGTCAAGGTTCTTTCCTATCTGCCCAGATCAGCGAAATCCAACCAATTCCGATCTTTCAGCGAAGGCTACGCCTTGATGTGCATCTGGAAGGCTCCTGCTGGCTTAAGCCAGGCTCTCTTCAACAGGAAGGAGACACACGACCCGTGTTGTTTGGTTGGGGAGCATATCTGCTTTGATCCAGTAAGGAGACAGCGAGGGAATGATTGTAAACTACCTACAGGAGTAGGGCAGGTTCCCAGAATGATGCTGGCCTTGAATTACAATGAGTTGGGATTGGGGCTGGGGGGCCAGGGGCAGGGATCTGGGGCAAAGCCGTAGCCTACATGGCCTGTCCATCCGGAAGGTGCGGCTGCCACTAAGCCCTGGCCAACTGTTTCCACACAGAGACATGGGCCTGGTGCTGCCCACCCTCATTTTTCAAGAGAAGCCAGAAATCAGGATTCTTTTTATGTTGGCAACAAATTTGAAATTTTAAAAAACACCGCGTGGGCCAAACAAAATATGTCTGCAGGCTAAATTCAGCCAGCCTGCAGCCTCTGAACTGAAAGGCCCAGGCTCTCCGTAAAGGAAGTTCTGCCAGGGCACGCAGGCTCCAGACATCGCGCGTTAACAGAAAAAGGTGCACGATTTTCTATGGTATTACCATAAAAAGATCAAATTCTTCCTCTCGTCGAGCAATCATTTGGTTCAGGGTCTCATCGTCGGGCACTTCATCTTCTTCCTGGGGTTAAGAACAGAATGATTTAACAGGCTTTAGGGGAAAGTTTGGACAATCAGGGTGAGGTATGAAAGAGTAAAGTGGATCTGTCCTGTAGACCACAGGGATTCATTTCTCAAGCCCCAAAGAAAAGAGAAGGGTCACTGGGGGTAGTATTTGCCATCATTATTTCGCAAGCTACTCAAACCAATCTTCCCCGAGCAAAATCTGTTTAGGAAGGACACATGGTACACTATGAAAAGTACTGTGTGTGTGTGTGTGTGTGTGTGTGCGCGCGCATGTGTGTGTACCTTCTGTTTCTTGGCTTTATAAAGGCACATGATTTTATTCACCCAGTCCCAGGTTTGCTTCCTGATTCCTACCTGTATGTTTTGAGCCCAGGTGCTGTGCCTTCCACGCTTTTGAGCCTGGAAGCCCCAACAAATCTTCCTTTCGGGTGGTGGGAGGCAGGACCTGTGCCACACCGCTGGGAGGAAGTGACTTGGTTGGGCTGGAGAGGCTGGTGAGACTTGGAGGTTTTCTCCTGGCCTTTGCCTTCTGCACCAGTCCCCTCTCAGAAACCCTAACACCTAAAAGCCATTTGAATCCTTCCTGATTCAGCTTGAGTAACCTTGTGAAAAGCAGTTTGCTGTATGTTCCCATGTAACATCATTTAGGGAATTCAACTAACTTGCAGGCATTGCAAAACACGAAGGTACCTTCCATATGTCCATAGGAGCCTCAGCCAGGCCAAAAACAAACTGACAACAAGCAGGCACAAAAAAACAACCTCTTGTATGCTCAAACATGCATGGACCACACAGACATTACTAAGCAATTCAAGAAAGGGACTGCTTTCAAAATCTGGTTTGGAGAGCCATCCATCATTGTAAACAAAGCCTCTCTTCAAGGTTCCCCTCCATAGCTGTAGTGGCTGTATTTAGATACCCGCCATTTAGTTCCAATTAGGTAATATTTTCAATTCTTAAAGCAGGTACATAAATCACTCACTCATTGGTAAAATAAATTGAGTTCTGTCCTGTCTTTTTGGGAAAGGAAGGTTCAAGTTGGTGGCTAGGACTGAGTTCAGGAAGAATGGGCATGGGCTCCAGCATTCCCACACAATCCAGCTTTTGGCACACACTGTCCCCAATTTACTGACCTCCATATAAAAGAACCATTCACACTGACTAACCTGAGAGATGGCATCCCAAGACAGGCTTTTCCACATAGGGAGGTGAGCGCCCGGCTTCTGTCCCTGGGCTCTGTCAGGGACCATCTGCTAGGTTTCCAAGGCTGGTGGGATTCTCCATCTCACACAGAAAAGCAAAGGCCTTTTTCTAGTCCATACACATGTGACCCCGGTCATTGTGCTTCCTATGAGCACTTTTTTACCGCCTGCCCCACACACAATCGTGCTCTCTTCATTCTTCTACCTGGAATTTCCCCTGGAAAAAGCTGTAATCACTAATGGAGGCTGATGTTTTAGCCACGTTCCATGTTCTCTACTAAGCCATGAAGGCTGCATCTTTCATACCCAAAGAGAGAAGTCTCCCTATCTGCCAGGAAAGATTAGAAAAAGGACCATTTACACTAAAACTAAACTAAATGAAATAACTTCAGTGACTTCACTTTGTGACCCACCATCCAAAACTGGCAGATTCAAATGAGTTTGTGAGGAGAGGTTTCTCATTCAGGCTCTTTTAATAACAAATTTCTCTTGGCCCAGGACAGGGATCCTTGAAACTACTCAGGAGTCCCTCAGTGTTGGAGCCCCAGGCTGGGGACATATGGATCACAAGTTGCTACACCTGGGGCAGGAGGCGGGGCACAGGCCCACACTTGCTGCTTAGCCTTTGAGAGGAGTAAGGAGAAAGGCGGGAATGGGCCTGGTCAGCCCGCCTGCCATGTCCATTTATCTGGTCTTTATCACAGTTGCTGGCACTTAGGCACAAAACAGGAGTGACAAGTTTTTGCTTTGTTATACTAAGCCGAGGTAATGGGAGGGAGCCAGTCAGGCTGTCCTGAAGATGCTCCATCAGGTCAGAATGAGTGGGAAGCTGTTGGTGAACAGCTGGGAGAATTGAGGGACAGAGGTCAAATCACCATGAGGCAGATTTGTGTTGGTATTTTAATGCATATTGACTGTTGATAAAACTCTAGAACCCTACCATCAGTGGAGCTTTGGGATGAACGCCACTGCCATTCGTGCCAGGCAAATGTCCTTATTACCTGATCCAAGAAGGCAGGGGGAGCCTAGGTATTCCCCTTCTCGATTTTCATCCATTATTATATTCAAGCCTTTATGGATTAAAACTTAATTCAGCTGTGTGAGCTGCCAACAGAAACTAATATCACAAAATGGTGCTTTTCCCAGGTTCATTCAATCATCAGTGAGTACTGAACTCATGATAAAGAGCCCCTAGGATACAGGCTAAGTGGTCAGAAAGAGGAAGTCACCTAGGTGGCTGAAATTTCATCATAATACAGAGAAGGCACACACATCCTTGTTTGAGGCTGGAAGCCTTTAGCTGTGAGGTCTGTTACCCAAATGCTGGGTGGATTATTCAGACATTCAGGCAGGTTGAGCTGAAATGGAGATATAAGTTAAAACTTAGGTGTGCCTGCAGGATGAGGTGCAGGCCTTTTGAAAGGCAGTCCTGGTAGTGCCACCACCTGTGATACCACAATATGCTTTGCCAGGATGCACTGCTCTCTACCACTAAAGAAACTCTGGGAGAGGGTCCCCTCTTCAGGTAACACGATTCAGATTCAATATGCACACAGACTGACATCTTGTCCCTGTTGTGGCTTTTTTAGAACTAATTATTATTTTTTTACTGGTTTTTTTTTTTTTTTTTTTTTTTTTTTTTTTTTATTGAGAGAGAGAGAGAGAGAAAGCGGCCGACAGCGAGGAGGAGGCAGAGAAGAGAAGAGCTTCCTGAAGTCCAAGCGAAATAAGCGTAAACACAGAGCTTGGGGCCGAACAGAAGGCAAGAATCATGAAAGAAGATCGCGTTGGGCCCGTAAAGTTCTCGCTGTGAAACACGCATTGTCCCAATTTAAATACTGCTTCCTTCTTTGAAAACTCCCTCTCACCCCCACTATCGATTCAATCATCGCATTCTTTAGGAAGTAAACTGTGTCATTGCAACGAGAAAATGAAGACTACCCCCTGTTCCAGCAACGGCAATGGCGGCAACAGCAAGACTTTGGCAATTCTGAAACTGGGCGCGAAAGAGCTGAGGCGCTCTACCGCTTTAACTTCCGAGGCTGAGTCCTGTAGAACTAAAATTTATGCAGGAGCTGAATAAATCATGAACATATCAATAATGATATAATCTCTTCATCAAATTCGATGATAGATCATCATCCGTCAAATGAATATCATCAGTTATTCATCGTCATAATCGTCTTCATTATTCTATTAAGTCCGGCAGGAACGGGCGCGACCCCAAGAACCATGATCGACACCCGCTTCGCGCGCCACGCCCACGCGCGGGGAAGGTCATTGGGGACGGCAGCTCCCGGAAGGGAGAGAAAACATTCCCACTGAGGGTGCATGTGACTTTATTACCCCAAAAGAATGAGATTAACTTAGATTTAAAGTACAAACCCCTAGGAAATGAAGTCTCCCTCAATGATAAGGTTTCAGTTCTTAACTTTTCTAGCGTTTGTTTCTTTTTAGAGTGATGTGTGTTTGAAGTAGTAGACCTTCTCATTTAAGCATACATTATACGGATACAAAATTTAAAACCTTCAAAAGCATAGCCAGATTATGCAAAAGTCACTGCCAGGGAATTTTTTTAACTGTGAATTTATAAAGTAAAACCTGTTTGTGAGCCAGAAAGAGCAGCAGCAAATTTTCAAAGGAAACAATACCATATCGCCTTAAAATTTAACTTCCCCTCAGTGTATTGCAGGGGCAGAGACACACCTTCAAGTCACCAAAATCTTATTTTCCTGGGCACCCGGCGTGACCACATTTCAATTCCTGGTGATCAGCCCACCCCTACCGACCTCCCAGCCGACAGAATCCGACCAAAGAAATAGGATTCAAACTGTTGACTGGAGACCCCACACCCACCACCACTCTGTGCTGTCTCCCCACTTCCAGCTCCTGGGAAGTTGCAAGATTCCATTTCAAGCTGCCAGAGCGGCTCAAAATCAAAGCCTCAGGTCATGAACCAACTTCCCGGGGCTCACCTCAGAGACTTTTATGTGGGGATAACATCCTCCCTTGTAAGTTTTCTGGATAGGCCTGCGGGGTGGTGGGAGTGAGCAGGCTGTGAGCTCATTCTTTGGTGCTTGAGTTCAGGGTGGCACTCCCAACAGGCTGGCTTACTATTTTGCTGCGTGGAGCTCCTCGTTTATATGAATCCCACGCCACCACACTATAGGAGCTGAGAGTGAGCCACGTCGGCATGGCAGCAAAACCCCGGCAGGCTGGACTGCAACTGTGTGAAAGAACAGGCGAAGCGTATAGGCAACTTTGGGGAAAGTTCATTTAGCAGAGGCACTTTTCCTGAATCTGGTGGCTTGGGGGAGGCTGGAATGAGGATGTGAGAAAGCTTTCAAGGAAGAAAGGACAGAGGCGGGAGGGTGGGAGAGTTCTCCCAGGCTGGGAGATAGAATCAAAGCCAGTGAAGCAGCTTCTAGGAAAAGGGCTTCTAATTCAAGAGAGGGGAAAGAGCTAACAATCGGGGTTGACCCACTGAGTGCAGGAGCACTATCGCAGACAAAAAGGCAGGCGATTCATGAGGGTGGCCAGCCCTCCTGGCACAGGGGCCAGGAATACGGTTCCATGCAGGATGGGTAGCTGCTCCCATTCAGCGTGGCCTTCCCAGCTCCCGGGATCTCACATTATCTCAGGTGCCCTCTGCCAAGCAGACTTTGTATGCAACATTGCGGGAAGAAAGGAGAATTATTTTAGCCCTGTTCAAGCGTTGCTTACCTGACGGTCTTGCCATTGCTTGCAAGGGCTGTGTTGGCTGGGATGGGACATTCAGTGCGTTCCTAAGCCA